CAACGATTGGTAAATACGTTGTGTTGAGATTCTTACATTTCAGGGGTTGGTTGGTGATTTATATCCCCGATGTGGCTGCTCTGAAGTAAATGTTGGCAAGGCGTCTACATATCAATTACCAACCACCTCGTTTATAATGGCTCGAGGAGACTGTGAAACGCTACTGGAGGGACGGAGCACAAGGTCCGCGTGCCCGTGTAAGGCTCACAGAATGGTTCCATGCATCCAATGTGGAACGGGCTACGGTCCAAACACCGCCTTGTGTGCGTCTGGTACGCATGAGATCCACTCTAAGCATGAATGCTTCCGTTCTGCTTGTCGAAGGAGTGTGAGCCGGTTCTGCTGATTAAGCGTGGCTCCCATGCACATGCCTCCCGATCTTATTCCTTCGAGTTCGCACCAGACATGAAGTGTGTGAATGGAGCTGTGGGTGGCGCAGCGCAAGCCACCAATGGTCACTCTGTAGACGCAAGCGTCCTGGCGCTGTCCTATGGAGGCCGCGGTTACAGGTAAAACCGGAAACACATGCCACCAAACATACATATAAACATAGAGCCAAGTAAAACCATGGAAATCAACGGAAGATGACCCATCGCAACGAGGCATCAGCAGTACGCCTTTAAGCAGCATGGACGTTTCGCTGCCGCGCAACGACCACTAGTCGCACGCAGACTAAGTATACCGCGAGGGTCGCCCGATCCCTGCACAGACTCGAAACAGCGCCCTCCAGTTACAAAGAAGGCTTGTGATCTTTAAGGCTACGGGCCAGCCAATCGCAATGAGGTTGGAACAACGTGGTGCGGTGGTTTGCATGCCTCAGCGATCCATTAAGCTATGCTGGGTGATGAACCAAGTCGAGTTCGAACGGTACGCTGGCATACTCAATTCGAAAGGGGAGGTAACAGAGATGTAAGCGGAGCTGAATTTGGGAACCGAGTGAAAATTGATCGGCCAGCAAATACCAGCCCGCGTCAAAGGAATCGAACTATTCGGTCAATATGATACACCCGTGGAGCGGAACTCACAATGGCTGAAAACCAGACGCAGAATAGCGAGTGACCTTGACCTCCTAATTAGCATGTTTCAATTACCTATAAATAGAGTTAACCTATCCTGTACATAGATAGATACTCTCTCTCTGTCTACCGAGTTCTGGCCTTTTGTATTCCTTCGGTTGGCTGGGCGCGTGACTGAGCAGTCAGACAGTCACAGTCTCACAGGGCAGCAAAGCAGCAGTACAACAGTTGTCAGTGGCAGAGAGCAGAGGGAAAAAAGAAGAAAACGTTACAACACTTTTACACCTTCAGAAGCATTCATACCAGCCGTCAATGGATAGATGTCAGACAAACTTATTCTCCTGTACCCTTCAGGTTGATAGTGAGAAACAGGGTGGTCCTTTATTCCACAACATGAATTCCTTGTAACATAATGTCAAACTCCCACTGCCTCGTGGTCAGATATTTGAAAGAAGGACTTTGGTGGGACACCCTAATCGTTCTCCTATCTAGGCCAGGGCAGCCTGACAATATAAATCCCACATAATACAATACATACGATCTTTTAATGCTCTAACAGTCACAGAGGATAATTAACGACGTCCTGTCTGCAGCATCGATCACGGTGGATTGGGGTGAGGATGCTACTACTCAAACCTACCCGTCTTTTTATTCCACCTCGTACGCTTCTTCTACCTCTTCGTCCCGTTCCAACTTCACTTATAACCCCCAGTCTTCAAAATCAAAATTCTCGGCCTTCTCCCAGTTAGCTTCAATAGTCACGTTTTTTAGTTTCAACTCCCACGCAATCGCAAGGTGTCACTCCGGTCCGGTAGACAAGTTCACGTTCAACCAAGCGGACGACATCAGCTCATCCGTGTCTCTCTGGAGCCATTGAATCTCGCGTAGACTGGCCTGCCTCAACGTGCGCAATTTGTAACAGATTGCTCAGCAAGAAGCACTTGCCAGAACACATAACATCACACCATTCGAAAGTATGCTGTTTATCTAAAACCCGTCTAGAAGATTCAAGCTTTGTGCTTCCTCTACGGTGGCCATAGCATCAAGAAACTGTTTGACGAAAAATCCGTTGTATTGCGTGGGCAGGATATTGTCACGTTGCCCAGGCCTAAACAGGAAAACGATTAGGGTTCTCAACCAAAACCTTTGGTTTGAAAACCTGACCGCAAAGCAGCAGGTTTGCCGTTGGGCTACAAGGAAACCGTTTTAAGGAATAAGGTGCCACCCTCATTCCAACCCCCAACCTGGAGGACCAGGAGGCTGAGTTTGCCTGGCCTAAAACCATTGACCAATCTGGTATGAGTGGCTCTGAAGGTGCAAAAGCACCACCCAGTATAGCTCAATGGATCACTGAGGCACACAAACCATCGCACCACGGTAAGGTGCAGGCTCATTGCCCTAACCTGTGACAGCTCACAAAGGTGTCAAACGGCACTGAACAGGTTAGCACTGGCTGTCAGCTGTTTCGGGTTTTGCTTTGCACCATCGAAGTGCAAAGCGTTCCTCCAAGATTGTTCTGGACCGCCTCCTACACTGACCATTGGTGGGGATCAGCTAGAAGTCGTACAAAAATTCAACTACCTGGGAAGTTGTATCAGCGCCCGTGGGATTGAAGATGAGATCACGAACCGTATAGCAAAAACTCGGGGCGCTTTTGCTAACCTTAGCCACTTATGACGCCAGCGCGACATCCCTCTCGCCTTGAAGCGTAGAGTGTACAATGCGGCGGTACGTTTGACCCTACTGTACGGTTGCGAAACCTGGCCGCTTAAAGCAGCAGACCTGAAGAGGCTGGTTACGTTCGACCACCGGTGCCGTCGCAATTTAGCTCACATCTGGTGGGAACACCGCGTGAGTAACGAGCGTGTTCGACGCCTTGTTTACGGCACAGGAAAAGGAAATGAACCGCTTAGCACAGGTATTTCATGCACGGGGCTCCCATGGCTTGGCCACATGTTACGCATGCCAGCCCACCGACTCTCGCGACGTGCGTTTTTGCGCGCCGGGGATGTGGATGGAAGAAGAAGAGGTGGCGAAGCGATAACTTGGTCGAGAGGAATGAAGGCCCTCACTTTGAAGCTGGCCTCAGTTGGAGCGTCTCGGCTCCCTTGTTGGGGCCCGAAAGACGATGAACACGTTTGTCTGGATACACTTGTTGCTATAGCTAGGAGCCGACCTCAGTGGCGTTCGTGTAGTGAGTTTCTCTGTTCCACCCCTCCAACCACGATCTCATTATTTAGCATTTTATAATTTTGCGCAGTAAATTTTTTTTCTGCTGCATAGTAGCCGGCAGGTAGCTAACCGGAACGATGCCCATCCGTTACCGGCAGCTCAGCTGGCTTGCGCCTGTTGCATTTTATTCCCATTTTTCTTTGATTTATGGCGCACAGTAGCTGAGGTGTTTCCCACCTCTAGCTATCCTATATATATATATATATATATATATATATATATATATATATATATATATATATATATATATATATATATATATATATATATATATATATATATATATATATATATATATATATATATATATATATATATATATATATGGTTGGCGGCATCCGGTTTCGGATTTGCCTGTCACTGTGGCAAGCCACAGGACGCCTGCGCCTACAGAGGGACCACGGATGGCTTGTGCTGCACCACCCACAGCTCCATCTACACACCCCATATCCAGTGTAAACCCGAAGGAATAAGACCGGGAGGCATGCGGATGGGAACCACGTTTCATCAATGGAGCCGGCCCACACTCCTTCACAGGCAAACACAAGCACACTGTATTTGGGAATCCAGCGCACACAAGGCGGTGGCTGGACCGTAGTCCGCTCCACACTGACTGCATGGAACCACTCTTCGAGCCTAACACGGCCACAAGGACCGTGCACCCCGTCCCCTCCAGCAACGACCAACTGTCTCCTGGAGCCAGTATGGACGAGGTAGTGGGTAATAGACAGGTAGGCACCTTGTCAACATGCACATCAAGCGCATCCACACCAGGGATATCAAACAACAGCCCAACGCTTGAAAGAGAGAAAGAAAAAGTCTCTTTATTTCCTTATGCATTAATCGAGTTTTTCTCTTTTATATATATATATATATATATATATATATATATATATATATATATATATATATATATATATATATATATATATATATATATATACCTGGGTATCGGATGAAAGGCTCTACTTGTGGAGTTTATGGTTTTACACAGAATGGGAACATAAACCGTTGTGTGTTTCAGAAAAGCCGGTCTGGCCAGTCATTCACGTGGCAACATGGGCCCAATATCGAAGTAAAGATAAAGTTGAGTAGGTAAGGAATAGCGCTTGCTTCCGGTTGGATTCAGTAAACCCAGGCTAACGGCGCAGTGCATGTGGCACATGTATCACATCATCGCTGTAGTTTGTTCGCAAGTGTGCATGTTTTTTTTGCATTTCGGGTGTTTACTGATTGATATTCCCGCTCTGGCTGCGCTTCATTAGAATGTTGACAAGGTGCCTACCTGTCGAGAAACTTTCTCCCCAATTACTGGCTGCAGTAGACTGGTGATCGGTGCTGAGGAGAGGTGGTGCACCGACTTTGTGACAGTGGTAGGTTCAAAGGGTGGTTCCATCCATTGTGGAACGAGATATGGTCCAACCACCGTCTTGTGTACGTCTGGTACGCATGGTTCGCATATATTCAAGTGATTGATGTGCATACTGAAGAAGTGTGGGCCGACTCCGTTGATGGAACGTGGCTCCCGTCTACATGCTCAGCAGTCTTTTTTCTTAGGGTTTACACTGAAGGTGGAGTGTGTAGATAGAGCAGTGAGTAATACAGAACAAGCCAACCGTGGTTCCTGCGTAGACACAGGCGTCATGTGTCTGTCCTAGGGCGGCCACAATGACCGATGAATCGGGAACAGGAGGCTGCTAACCATATGCATATATGAATCGGAAGATGGTTGTGATATCATTGATGACTTACGTTCAAAAAATACAGCGTACCGGGATGTAGACCCAATGAAGCGAAAGTTGGATCACTTGACCTTCCCGGCGAGAATCTAGTGCCAGTGGATGCCGCCGAATCGCGGATGAGTTCATCCAAAAGTCGATACACGGAAGAACTTGAGGATAATGACTGAAGTTCGTCAGCCGATGATCGGGCACTCCACAGTTGATGAGATGAGGGAATGCCAGTGAGCTTGGCAACGTCTTGCCGCAGCCGGCTGATTGGAGAATCCAGTGGAAAACGCAACGATATGGGATGGGTAGTGGTGGTGGTGGTGGTGGTACCAACAGAGGAGTGTGGATGAGAAACCCGGAGCTGTATTTCGATGTAATTTGGGGATTCGTTGTCAGGTCTAAAAATAGATAAAACGAATGCGAGAAAGCAGTGCATATGAATCTGGTCCGCTGCATAGTGAAACAGATAGCAAAGAGAGAAGTGAAAGTCAAGAGAGCTGCTCGCATTAGAAGATAAGTCGAGATCTATTGTTGGTTTGCTTGGCGTACTGGTCGAGTGAATGGAGCGCGACAGGCAATATGAACTGTAATCGAAATTGAAATTGCACGTGGCGATTCATTTGCAGGAAAGTAGTCTGGGGAAACCAACTGAGAGGTGCAGTGGTGAGGATCCAGATGCTGCAGGTGTCCGATAGCAACCGCGACAAGACTGCATCTAAACGTGGCGCGACGGCTCGCGTACCACTTCGATACATTAGGCTATACTAGGTGGGCCAGTCGGCTTCTGAGAGCCAGAATGAATTATACTTAGAGACAAGGTGAATTGAATCTCCTGTCACCCCACCTTAGGAGAAGAAAATGGGATGGCGTCCGAATTTGCAAAACCACATCATCGCAATCTCCCCGCTGTTTGTGATCAGGCTTTTGAATTAAAGGATTTGGTTGAGAACGCTTATGGTTCTCCTGTCTAGGTTTGGGCACCCCGGAAACGTCCCACTTCACATACAATCATGAATGATTTCATTACTAATCTCGTGTCACATCCTGCCGCATGTAGAAAAGTGGATAGTGAAATGCGTGCCATTGCTAATGCTTCCTTCGTTTCTTACCCACCTGTTTCCACTGACCTCACTCCTAACCCTATTAATAGCATCATTCATCACCAGTATACACGTTAGCTAGAGGTGGGAAACACCTCAGCTACTGTGCCGCAATACATAAAGGAAAAGGAAAATAAATACAACAGTTGCATGCCAGCTGAGCTACCGGTAACGAATAGGCATCGTTCCGGTAAGCTACCAGCCGGCTACTAGGCACGAAATGAGATCGTGGTTGGAGTGGGAGGGTGAAAGGGATGGGGAGGGACAAAGAAACTCACAACACGAACGCCACTGAGGTCGGTCCTTTGCCATGTCAGAAACCCTCTTAATAACGTTCCCGGTTAAATGACAAGACATAGTACCATTAGAGTTCCACCATCTGCAGCCACCTTTGCAATCGTCATAAACAGCTGTTTATCAGACCGGGCAGCCTAGATTCTCTGGCAGCATGCAACCTTCGTACCCTAAACAGATAGGACTGCAGACCGCACTTGCCCGCACATCGGAAAAAATAAGTGTCGGAGTGTGCATTGTGTCCGAACCTGGCACCAAGGTCCCTTACATAATTGTTGCTGAAGGCTTGAATACTCAAGCGGGTCGTCTTTCAGAGAGCCGCTTCGGGGTCGATGCACGCCGAACAGACAATGACAATTGATCCCTGCAAGTGGGCGCCGATAACAACCCTTGTATCAGTAGCACTGCTTTCCAACATAAACTGTCACACCGGGTCACCGTGCCCCAGCGAATTCCTCAATGACCTGGAAAAGCGCTGATCATATTGCCATCAGCTATAAATGGTGAAAATCAGTCTAAGGCTGTCGGTCAATTTGGAGTACGTGCATGGATTCTGATCATGCTCTAGTGTGCACGCTTTTCCAACTTTTAAAGTAGCGCATAAATTCTAACCTATTTACGTGTAACGCGAACTCGCAGTCGGCAGTTCAACAGTATGATGACAAACTGGTCTACCAGTTGTCAGTGATGAATGAGGTTTATGGGGCGAACGTTGACTGGGATCGTCCCAATTATGCCATGAAGAGTGCTCTTGACGTCTGCTGTACGCCCAATTTGAGAGGGCCGAACTGTAAATAGATGTCTAAGACATCAAACAATTTGACCGAAGCACAGAAACAGGTCCCGATGGGTCCTGATTTTCGGCGTGTCCGTAGCGTTCTGAAACGACGACAGACAATGAGTCTTCTAATTGACCGGAAATCTTGGTGAGTGGCTAAGGATTGTGAAATGGAGAAAGCTGGTAATGTTGGGAACAGCCGAGTGCCGTTCCAGTTCATTCGGAGCACGGATCCAAGAAAATCCGCAGTTTATGAGACAATAACTGAGATAGGTGAACAGCTACTCCGTTCTCAGACTCGTCGAATAGCTCGATGGGCTTAACATTCTAAAGAGTAGTTCAGCAAGCCTGTTGCAACACTGTCACTTGCCAAATCACTTGAATCGAGGTTGGAATTCGATGACACGTCCAATTTGGAGGAGATCCAACATGAGCTTGTTCTGTTAAAACGAAACAAGACTCATGGACTATACGACCTTCATTTTTACCGAATGGTAGAGCTGACCATTTGTTGACTGTACTGCTTGATCTACTCAACACGATTTGGGGCCATCAGACTAAAGACTGTTAACGGAATTTGTGCGCAAAACGTCGAGCCATTAGCCCACTTTCCATTGCCTCCAAACTTCTCTTGGGTATCATTCGATGACGGCGTTTGTTTGCATTGATCGCATACCTACTTTCCGTCAAGTGTTGGAGCAGACATATAGATGACCGACTATGGTGGTATTCCTCGATCTGAAAGCCACCTTCGATACGGCTAACTGAGCAAGCATGTAGCACCGCCGACCCGTGGAGAGGGCCCAGAAACTTCTTCCTATTCTGGAATTTCTGTGCGGTTACTCGCTAAGCCGGGTAAGGATTTACGGTAAACTGCCCACTGAGTTCGCAAGGATTACACTGCATTTTCTTTCTTCTTCAACTTTGGGATTGAAATGACCATAAATAAGTCGGTTGTTCCAGGTTCTACCGGAGGGGAAGTTCCGCTACGGTACCGACTAACGAGCCTTGAGTATGCGGATGACAGCTCTTGCTGGATCGTACTCTGTGGCCGTGCAAGAGCTGCCGAACAGTGCCTATAGTGTTGTACGCTCAGCATGTGTTAAGCAGTTTCAAAGCGCGAACTATTGTTTCAGCACTGGACCGACACACTAGCTATTCTTAACATCTCCGAACAGACACTGGCGGTAGATCGGTTCATTTACCTTAGCTCTTTTGTAACTGCTGGTGTTCTCATACCTGAAGAGGTTACATCATGCATCCCGATGCCTGTGTGGCTTTGCAGAGGCCCAGCCTTCTATCGTGGGGTGCGTTAGCTTGTCAATCGGTGATAAGGTGTACAATGCTGCGATAAGACTTGTGTTACTGTATGCATCAGATCTAGCCAGTTAGTAGTGAAAACCTTAAGCGATTGGCCATGTTTGGTCACAGGTGCTTGCGGAGTATTGCTCACATCTGATGGGAGCACCGGGCGGGCAATTCTGAGGTCCGCCAATTGGTTTTTGGCAAAAATCCTTCAGGTGTCTCACTCGAGTGTCTGCTGAAGCTCAATGGTACGTTGGAGAGATCATGTCTTCTTTATGCCTTTTGACCTGCCGGCCGGTAGCCTAAAGGTAACGAGCTTGTTTTGCAATCTGGCAGCGCGGGTTCGAGGCTGCGTAGGGACAAGGCGACCCTCGCAGTATCAGTCCACGTGTAACTAGTTGTGGTTGCGCGGCAGCGAAGCGTTGGTACGGCGTACTGCTGATGCTTTCTAATGTCTTCGTACCTACTTTCTCAATGTGAATTATATGTCGTCACTGACCTAAGTTGGGTGAAATCGTGAGATGGCCAGCTCATGACGCAGCATATAGGCATGAAGAAACTGATCGAGGGACTTGGCCAGACTGGCGCATGCCGTCTTCGCAGATGGGGGGCTTTGGGATGGTCCACACCAGTGGTTGAAGATGCCACTAGACATGGCGCAGTCAGTGGCGATCCGGCATTCGGTTTCTTGCAACTGGTTGTTAATTTCCATTCCATCCTGATTAGCCTGACGCACCTTCTTATTGACTGCATTTCCATTGTGTTCTATTTTCATGAAAGCACATTTTCTTTTCCTTGTTTATTACCGTTATTCCGGCAATGTGAGTCTTGGCAATCGGATTCACAACACTTCAACAGAACTACTAAACGGGGTTGTTGAACTAACTGTGACAGGAATGTCATCTCGTTCAACTGTTGATTGGTTCGTTGAGCTTGATTAAATGATTGCATACAGTTTAGCAGCTGAACAATCAACCTGGGCTACCAGTCTTTCAAACTATTCCGATTGTCGTTTCGCTGTTGGTTACAGGCATCCTGATGCGGCAACCCCTGGTCAGACTGCCGTATCATTCGCAGCTATAAGGTTTAGCCATCGCTGGATTCGGGTGAGCAGCCGTCTGTGTGCAGCCCGCTTTACGACAACAACCCAAGCTAAGTGTACAAAGCAGCGTTATACGCTCACTGTGATTGTCGCTTATGCCCCCAACCGACTGCAGTTTGAATGTTACTAAGGATGCTTTTTAGTACTAGCAAAACATGCTGCTTTGCAATGCTGTTAGTTCGGATATCAAGCAATTACAAGGAATATAAATGCGTAAATAGGTCATTTGAACGCCTCAGAAGCTCAGTGACGTGAAATTACATACTTACCTTGTTACTACTTCCACTGCTATTGCAAGCTATCGCTTTTCTGCTAGGGGTTACAAACTATCGTTTGTTCTCTGGTAGTTTGTGTGCCGAAGTTCCTAGATGAACAAAGCCCAATTCTCAGGGGTATATCTTGGCAATCGATATACGATGAAGTTGTCTGGTGGATCTAACTCAATCCTAACAAGTTAATCAGCTAGAAATGGATCGGCTTTTGCGACCGAACGCTCTGACACGGACCCAAACGTTTCAGACGCAACAGAATTATGGGAACACTGTATTTTTACATTTACCATATTCTTGGTTATTACTGATTCACACAAACCTGTCGGCCGATGGCCGAGTGGTCTGCAGGCCTGGCTTGCAATCATAAGGTCACCAGTACGAATCCGCGTAGAGGCGGGCCTTCTCGCGGTATACATGGCCCACGCGAGACTGATAACGGTCGCACGGCAGCGTAGTGCCTTGACGGCGTACAGCTGACACAAATCGGACACTTATTCATTTTCTCTAACCAGCTGTGTATAAAATTATTTCTCGAGGTCGTTCGTAC